GGGTGATGGGGTAGGGAGTAAACGATAGGATAGAGCCTAAAGAGAGAGAAGAGCAGTTGGACAGACAAAGAGTTGATAACGATTAGGCTGGGAGGGTGAATGGTTGTTAGTGGAGACTACTAGTGACTAACAACAGGTGGTATGTAATGGCAGGTTATGTGGTAACAAGGCCTGGTGTGTGGGGTAGGGGACTGGAAGAGTTTAAGCGCTAAAACTATTGAACTCAATATTGAGTCTGCAGGGCTGCAGGGTCCCTTTTTAGGGCCTAAACTTTCCCATGTCCCAGCCCCCTACCCCACACACCAGCCCTTGTTACCACATAGCCTGCCACTACACACCCCCTGTTGTTAGTCACTAACAGTCCCCATTAACAACTATTCACCCTCCCAGCATGATCGTTAGCAACTCCTTTGTCTGTCCAACTGCCCTTCTCTCTCTTTAGGCTCTATCCTATCATTTACTTCCTACCCCACTCCCCTCCCTTTTTTTCTGCATATAAACTGACATTTTCCCAACCACCATCAGTTCTGAGGAAGTGTCGCTGGACCCGAAACGTTAACTCTGTTTTTTCCTTTACAGATGCTGCCAGACCTGCTGAGCTTTTCCAGCAACTTTGTTTTTGCCCTTGTCTAGGATGCTGAATGATTTATTAACTACTTTTTCCACCTGTCCTGCACCTTTGTTGATTTATGCTCTTGTGCACCCAGGTCTCTCTGCTCCTACACTCCCATTAGAATAATACTTTATACTTTACACTGTCTCTCCATGTCCTTTCTCCCAATAGTATCATCTCATACTTCTCTGTACTGAACATCACCTTCCACTTATTCACCTTTTCCGTCAACTTGTCAATTCATTTTGAAGTTCTACACTGTTCAATCACAGCTTACAAAACATCCAAGCTTTATATCAACCACAAATTTGGAAATTATCCCCTGTACTCTAAAAGCTAGATCATTTATTAGCTTTCCATTTTTAGCTGCCCCTTCCCATAACCTACCATGAGGTCACAATCATCAGTGATGGTCTCTCAGTTGTCAGTGTCAATATTCACCACGTTTATATCTCACTTGCAGGTATCCTTGTGACAGACACATGGATATCTAATAGGTGTTGAACCGGTATCCAGTTCACTGCACAGATTGCACTTGGGTATAAAGCCATCAAACAAGTCCTTCTTTATCCTGTGTATACTTTGTTACCAATTACACCAAAACTTCAGCTCATCTTACAGCACAATTTCTCTGGGTTCTGCCAATTTTGAAATACTGCATGCATCAAAGTTGACTTGTTTTGTCAAGACCCGGCAAATTCCCAGCTGGAATTAAGTTTTCAGCTTAACGACGCTGACATTTTCAATGGTCAGGGAATGATGAACAGAGGAGGTTTAAGGCCCAGGGAAATTTGCTGCAGGTCAAGTTGTGTTTAATCTCAATTCTATATTTGGACTGGACTATCTGCAGTTTAGTAAAATCAGTACCTTGAATTCAAAATTAGGTCTGACTCCAGATGGATCCAAAAATGGGTGGAAAGATAAACGGTGATAACTGCTGACACTTGGAGTAAATGTGATTTCAAATGAACTAATATGTGAGAAACCTCAGGTTACATTGACATGTTGTAACTTTGGCTAGAGGTAATACCATGTAGTTTCAATGGGGCTTTACCCTCTAAGTTTGATTACCAGAACACGAAGAAGTTCTGATATTTGATTGCAAACTGCAAATTCACATTGCATTTGTGTACCAACGAATTCACTTTGCAGATTTTTAAAATTTATATACAAGGGTAGATTCATGTTCTGCTCACGCACAAATTCAGATCTAATAGTTAGCATAGCCTATTAGGGCTGCTGCGTGGAGAGAGACAGTAGGTGGTGAGATTAATCTGAGGGTCACCACACCTGAGATGAGGGGAGAGGTTGAGAACCTTTCAGAGTTGCACCCATCACTCTGCATTACAAGACAGCCATCCAGCTAGCTGAGCTAACCGAACACCACTGGTGACACAAAACTGGTGACAGAAGAAGACACCAGTCAGGAGTGACATCTCTGACTAAAAGTCACATTTACAATTCCAATAGAACCTACTACTTTATAAATGAAAATATCTCTCATGTTATTCGGTTCAGCATTTCTTTTGGGAATAGTATTTATTCTCCTTCATTAAACCACAAATTTATTAGAATAGTATTACACAAAATCTAAATCTTAGATTCCACAGCACATTTTAATTCATAGCTGCAGTAAACAAACAGAAGTGAGGAATTAAAATTAGTGGTGAGGCCTTCAAAGTAATTCAGATGTACATTAGGCAGGGAACATCTGAAAGCAACTATTCATATCCCAACAGGACAAGAGAGATTTAATTCATCTAATGCATTGGTCATACCCTCAATTTAGAGCTTAATATTACCGAGGGCATGGCTTTAGTTCTTTGGCATGTGAGTGAAATGTTGCGTTCAACTGGTGACATTTTGGGTATTTGGATTGACAATGACTCTGGTCATGGCTAATGGATCAAATTAACAGTCGCCGCTGGTCAAAATGGGTGATAGAGAGCTTGACCGAACAGCAAAATACTGCAGATGTTGGAAATCTGAAATAAAACGGAAAATAGAAAACTGGCACCTATTTTATAGAAAAATGACGCCTAAAATTGGTTGAAATATACAACTAGCTCGTGATTTACTCTCATCCCGATCTCTTTTTGATTGTAAAAAATTATCAGTCCTGACATTTACACGTGAATTCACACAAAATGTAATGTTTACAATGCAGTTCCACATAATAATTTTCATACCCTTACACCATGGGCTGGCATGGTGACTCAGTGGTTAGCACTGCTGCCTCACAGCGCCAGGTACCCAGGTTTGATTCCACCCTTGGGCAACTGTCTGTGTGGAGCTTGCACATTCTCCCCGTGTCTGCGTGGGTTTCCACCAGCTGCTCCGCTTTCCTCCCACAGTCCAAAGATGTGCAGGCTAGGTGGATTGGCCGTGCTAAATTGCCCGTAGTGTTCAGGGATGTGTAGATTAGGTGGGTTATAGGGGGATGGGTCTGGGTGGGATGCTCTGAGGGTCAGTGTGTGGACTTGTTGGGCCAAAGGGCCTGTTTCCACACTGTAGGGATTCTGTGATGATTCACCCTAGATGGACAATCAGCATGGTCTGGAACAATACAGTAGGCTCAAGGTCCGAAATGGGCCACTCCTGCTCCTGCATTCCTACATTTACATCCAATGTCAGCAACAAGCACTCTCAAATCAGTTTTAACATGACTATGTGTCAGCTCAAGTTCCATTCTCTTTGTCATAACCACAGGTCACCAATTATTCCATAGTGAAACATTTTCCATTTCCCATATCCATGGCCTCCATACATTACAGACTCAGTGTCAAAATTTGTTTTATCAATAATAATTGGATATAAACCATACAGTTAAGACTTTTACTTAAAAAACAGGAAAATAATGTGTTATTAGATATACACTCCATTTATTCATCTACCCAGAGTATCTAAACTACTAATATGTTATTCACTGGTATCAAGTACTGTGGATGCTTGTAGTGACCATGTCAATATCAATAGCTCTTCAGTGTAAAGGTCTTAGAGAGTTCATGCAACTGGCATTCTACCATCCTACACTCCAACATCAAAATAAAGTGCACAATTAAACCAGATTGCCTGCAGTACGTGTACGAAAATATGCAGCAATATATTGACAAATTGCAAGACTGTAACCTCATTATGGGTCTGGAAATGGTTATAAGTCACTTGGGCATCATGCTCAGTGTCTGTCATGGTATCTGATTACAGCCATGTGCGTGCTTTGTGTTTACAAAGATATTTCACTAAGCACTGAGAACTCTCTATGTGCAATGTGCATGGTCATGGTATCTTCACTTGTGTAATGAACTATGGGACACAATTAAATATCAGATTGATTGAGCTGTACCTGCCTCAATCTTTACATTCTGCATCGGTCTTACAAAGGTCCGTAGTGTTAAAGAGACCTGAAGTTATAACAGCTTTCCAACTTTATTGTAAGATTTTCAATGTGTGTACCCATAGAAATATGTCTCTTCAGTGCTACCAAAGAGATTAGACTTTTGACACCATTATGATTATTAAGTTTAAATTTTGAAATTGACTGCAACTCACTCAGATGAGTTTTCTATGTTTTCCACGGGGACCGTATTATCAGTTTCTGGCTGTGTCTTTTGTAAGAAAAAGTGAGAAGCAGTGGCTTAGGAACTGTCATCCCTTTTTAGCCCATTGGTGTGTTAGACAGAAACAGAGGACAAATCCCCTGGACAGTCTCCCCTCCCTCTAAATTAACTCTATGATGTGAAGCCAAGTAAATGAGGTGATCTCATTGAAGCATTTAAGATTCTGAAAGGTTTGATGGTGCAGACAGACAGGTTCTTTCCCATGGCTGTGAATCTAGAACATGGAAGCAAAGGTTTAGGATAAGGCATCTGAGCTGAAGAGAAAGGTCTCTACTCAGAGAGTTGTAAATTATTGGCATTTTCTACCCAATGGGGTTGTGATTGCTCTTATCCAAGACTGAGATGGACCGATGCTTGATGTCTCAAGGAACCAAGGGAATAAATGGGGAAAGAGGAGCTGAGGAGGAAGATTAGCCATTTTGAATGGTGGAGCAGATTCAAGGGGTTTATGATCTACTCATGTTCTTATTTCTAAAGATCTTTTGTTCTCATTTACCAAGTGCATTTGCCCAGATGTTAATGAGTTGGCTAACTGTCACAAAGCACAGCTCACTTACTTGTATTTTGGCAATGACCAAAGCTGAAATGAATGCTTGTGTTACATATCCTCATTTCCAATTAAAAATTCATTGTGCACTCTACAACTAAGTGAAATAGGTAGAAATTGTCTGATACTCCTTTACCATTGTAAAATTAAAAGTGGATTATTTTTGATTGTTTTGTCCTATGATAAGCACACAACAGCATGAAAAAGACACAACCATGGCCCTTCCTCCAGCTAAATATACAAATTAATTGCCAAGTGAGACATCTTAATAGGTCCGTCTGACATCATACAAAGGCCAGGTGCTGCTGGCATCTTCCTTTCCCCAAGAGGAGACATCGTGCATTGAAGTAGTTGTTATGTCAGAAGATTCTTCGGGTGAGAGATGGACCACCTTGGCAGCCAGTTCCGACGGTACAGTCAGAAAAGGGGCACATCCGTATGCTGAGGCGGCTTGGTAACTTGAGGCAAAATGCATCTCCTCTAGCGGGTGAAGTGGATATGGCTGGCATCCCTGGCTTGACATGCTGTTGCTCCTGTTGGTACTCCTGTACTGAGGCGGAGAGCTGGAGTCAGGACCAGGCAGAGCATGGCCGTTATCTTGTGAAGATTGGCAATTACTTGCGGCTGCCTGCATTTGCTGGAGGGAGTCACAAAGCCCTTCACCCTGGATGACACTGTCTGGAACACTTTCCCATGAATCTCTCTATGTTTGAAAGAAAGGTACATTTTAATACACACCTCATATACTGCAATGAGCCACAGATACCTTCATAAAGACCATGAGACCCATCTTCAAATGTTAAGACTCATCATGAAATATCATACATATAAGCCCCTTACTGATGGTGCTGTTAAGGGATAAATAATTCATCTTCAAAAATTGGATGGGATATATAAATGGGCAACATTGCTAATTTTAGGCCATCACAAGTTAATGGCACGACAGCATGTCAATGCATTAATTGGAACAAATATTGCCTGGCATGCGAGATGAGAATCAGTTGGAAGCATTATGTTTTGTCAATGAAATATGGAACTATTAGAGTTCCATTAAATAAGACTGCATTAAATTGTGAAATAACCATGCAAAACTGTATCGAGTATTTGGATGTATGTAGTCAGAGGAATGAATGAGAGCCTTTAAAGAAACCTCTTACTTTATCACTTTATCTTAATGATTTGCCAGTTATTATCTCAATAAAAGAATTCATCAATATTCAGCAGCAAAGATTTTGATTGACTTTCCCCCAGAAACTGAGTTGTTAAACGCAATAGCTAAACAGAGCCAAGAGAGCTCCAAAGTCCTAAGGGTTCATCTTTTTGTCAGTCTAGAGTTCACCCAATTTCATTCATCCTAATATCAGATATGAAGAAGTCCAGCTGGGCAGAGGGAGAATGCTAGGGAGAGGAAAAGTTGTTGAGGACTTTTGCTCCTGAATCTGTGGGGAGGCAGTGGCATAACTGTAATGTTATTGGACTAGTGATCCAGGAACTCAGGCTAATGTTCTGGGGACATGTTTGAACCCCACCATGGCAGATGATGAAATATGAAGTGAATAAACATTCTGGAGTTTAAAAGAGACAAAGTCATCTAATAGCAACCACGTACTCACTGCCACTTGTGTAAAAACCCATCTGGTTCATTAATGCTATTTAAGGAAGGAAATCGGCCATCTTTACCTGGTCTGGCTTACATGTGACTTCAGGCCTACATCAATATATTTGGCTCCGAACTGCCCTGGTGGGCAATAGATTTTGCTCAATAGTGATGCTCATATCCTATGAACTATTAATAAAAACACTTCCCAACCAGTACTGGAGGAAGTTATGTGTCTGTGTGTGAACACCATCCCAGGACAGGATCTAGACTTGTCTATGTTATCTCTGTAGCTGAGTGATGTTTATTGTTAGAGCTCACATGTAGAAAATGCTTACTGAGATAGCTCCTGGAGTGAGAGTTCCTTTGAATGTTCTCCTGCAAGAAGTGGGGTGGAGCGAATAAAAAATAGTATAGAGATGAGGAAGGAATAGAGTAATTAATTTTTTAGTGCTATTGTGCACATTAAAATTAGGGGTCACAAAATCCAATAAAGAGTTGAGGAGACATTCTGACCCAAGGAGTGATGAGAATGTGGAATTTACTATCATATGGACTAACCTGAGACAAATACTGGATATGTCTTTAACAGGAAGTGAGAGGGAGAAAAGGCATCAAATAAGGTAGGGTTATGCAGTAGGAAATGTCAGCGGGCATCAGTAATGTGTCCACCTATCTTTACTGACCTTATACCACTCTCACCCACAGCTACAAAAGGAACAATCATTCATACAAGAGATAACCGGGGACCTGACATATTGAGCCGAAACACAACAGTCACCAGTTGTGGCAGGTCACTGAAAGGCTGCATGGTCCTGTGAATTTGGAGGTATTTACACTGTGTTGCACCGAGCATTATAGATTTATGGTGTTGATTATAAAACTATATAAAATACAGACACATGGCCACAGGTACACAATATTGATTACAGATATGTGAATACTAAGTAGATCATCGTGTGTGTGTGTGTGCGCGCACGCGTTGCGGGTGGGCTTAAAGATACACAGTGTTCATTATAGATGTATAAACACTGGGTGTAGGTTGACTATAGGCATATAAACACTGTGTAGATTATAGAGACATGGATGTAAGTTATACATAGTGTTTGGTTGTAGATATCTAAATACTGCGTAGATCATAGATAAGTGGGCATGGGTTTTGTATCTGATGGAACATGTGAAGCACAAACAGCAAAATAAGTCAGTTGAGCCAAATGACCTCCTTCTTGCTTCTAAATTCTATGTAAATCTAGTTGTTTAAGTTTTTCCAAGTGACAATGATATAGGCTCAATTCTTCCTTTGATGTAGCTGCACTAGTGACTGTGCACCAATAGCTATTTACCAGATGTCTCATGGCTGGATGAGCAAGATTATCTTGGCAGCAAATAATGTTTTTCAGGTAAGGATTTGAATAGCTCAGCTGCTGTTGTTGTAACAGGAACAGGTGTGTGGTTCTCCGCAAGTGCTGTGGACACTGAGCTACAGACTGACCGACATATTGCATTGTATATACAAATATGCTCAGAGCTGATCCGTGCTTGCCAACTATGTTAAAGCTTGGGGCTTTGTAGATTGCATTGAAAATGGATCTGTATATCTAGTGAGTGATTCGGCCCTGGGTTGCTAACGAGTCTTTATTTAGCTCCATCGTCACATTTAGAAAACTGTTACAACAAACTATTCTTATTTTCTGCTACAAATAAAAATAAGAAACCTCAAGCTGCATTTAGTGGAGACCCGGGAGTGTGAATTATGTGCAGGTGTGACGTGTGAGGGAGGGGAGCCCTCAGTAAAATTGGGTTGGAGTAACTGCATCAGATTCCCAGTGTAGAGAAGACAGTGTTTGCTGGAAAAGCTCAGCAGGTCTGGCAACATCTGTACAGTTAACATTTCGGGTCAAGTGACCCTTCCTCAGAACTCTGATTCTCTCCACAGATGCTGCATCCAGCAATTTCTACTTTTGTCTCTGATTTACAGTATCCGCAGTTCTTTCAGTTTTTTGTTTGTAGGGAAACTTGTACCTGATTAAATTGGGGGGCAAGAAGGGCCTGATGCAAGAATCACACACACTGCCAGTTGGACCCAATTAGGCTCATTACTGAGTCACCTAAAGCCAATCACCCCTGAGCCTGTCAGAATGTGGTGACATTTGGTGTTCGACTGAACTCGCTTGACTTTCTCCTGCTTCCTGAAGGTCGCCAGTAAACTCTGTCAGATTTTCCTGCAGCCTCCTGAGGTCTACTGGGGTTGGGAAATAGGGTGGGGCACAGACACATTTGGCCCAGTATAAGTAGAGGTGGGATCCATTGCACGTGGTGGTAGACCCATCGTTTCCTCTAATCCCACCCTCGTCTCCTTGCAGGAGAACCGCTCTCCGGGAATCCCATTCCTTCTTTTGTCTCCTGTGTCCTGAGATTCTGCATAGATCACGGAGCTGGAGCTCACTGTGTTACCGATAATAACCATCATTCCCAGCGATGGGGACTGCAATAGAAAGTTGTCAGACTTTGATTAACTATCAAATTTTGGAGGTGATGGGGGAGGATATCCACTATCTGGATGTTTAATCACTTGGGCAGTCAGCCAACGGATGCCCTGGCACCAGCCAGTTAAGTGCCTGATCAGCATTTAATTACATCAAGATCTTTCCTCTGAAAGCAACATGGAGATCCTACCAGTTCTCCAACCAGTGGGGAGGGGAGCACTGATTGCAATGAAATCCAGCCAGCCATCTTTCTCCACTGCCCCACCACTCTCAGGTATTTTACACTAACCTGGTGCTTTTCCAAACTTTTCACCATTATGATCCCAATAGGCCTAAAGTTTGTCCTGATCCCTCAGTGAGATCTGAGAGAGTTGGGTATGGGGACTAAGCAAGCAGAGTAGTTTTAGCTTTGGTCAGAGATCCATGGCAGCCATTGCGCGTGCCAGAGCTTGGGACCCCAAACTTTCAGCTCGCAATCCTACATAGAGTCCCAGCCCCTACTTTCGGATGGCCTGTACTATAATCTCTGCTATAGCTGACAATACCTTGTACCAATGCTCTGGCAGTAATTCAAATTAGGGTCAATTAGGTATTTGCACCAAATGAATTCATGTCAATGCAGGCAGTATGGAAGTGTACTGTTTCATCTTTCTCTTTTCATACAATTTAATGCAGTGTCCCAGGTTTTAATTGCACAGAGTCAAAAGTATGAGTCACTTAAGTTAATTATGTGGATTTATACACCTTAGAAACATGTAAAGAAAGCATTCACCACAGAAAGAATACAAACTGAATGGGCCCTAATTATAATGCACATAATGGCTGGTATCTTATTCATAGCATCATTTGTCAACAACACATTTAGATTATCACATTTACCAAGTTGCTGAAGGCATTTAGAACCAACGTTTCTTCACTTTAGTTCCTTTATCTATCTTAAATATTCTTTAGATCAAGAAACCTCTGAGATAACTGTACTCCTCTCACTCCAGTTTCTTGCATTGTCCTGATTTGAATTGCTCCAGCATGGCAGGTGTTCAGGCGTAGAAGCTGGGATATCTTCCCTAAATGTCTACACTTCTCAGCATCACTCTCCTCCTTTGAGACACTCCTTAAAACCTACCACTTCAACCAAGCCTTTGGTTACCAGTCATCACGGGCCAGTTTTCCGTCACTTAGCAGAACAGCTGGAATCAGAAAATTTCCAACTCAGCAGATCCATCTCTGTTAAATTGGCCCCTACTTTACGAATTCACTCAGGTGAGGCAGGATGGGAATGTAGCCAGCTGGTTATAAGCCCTATCCTGGTTCTCTGGGACTCTGACCAAGTTATATAATAGGTTGTTAGGCATTTTAACCCTCATCTTCATCCTCCTCTCACTGCTTATGCTCCTTCCAATTCCTTTTACTTTTCCCATGCCCCTCCATGCCCCATTGCATTCATTATACCTAATCACTCAGTGTACACTATGCACAGAACAAATTACCCATATACTAACCACGATGAATCTTGAAGTGCCAGTAAAAGATATGCATGGAAGCCAAATTGCTGTTCTTACAAAATTATTAAAGTATCAAATAGAGCCAGCCATATATAATTTCAATTACAGAAGCTTTGCCCCACTTTGTACCTCTTGACATTGTCCAAATAAACATGCAGACATCAGGGAAAACAGATCAAAGAAAGAATAACGTGTTAGAGCCTCACAAGATGTCTATCGATCAAATCTAACACTCCATTTCTGCCAGCACAAACAGACCCCAGATGGATTGATCCATTAGTGAGTTATGGGCCTCAGCCAAGCATTCCAAATGAGGCCTTTATGGGTTTGTTTATTTTGCTGACACAGTTGCCAGGTTATAATTATGAACGTTTGATATTTTATAGAGTTATAAAAGCAGCAGGCTTTACAGAACAGATTGCTGAATTGCTGTTGATTTACATCAGCATTTCAATACTTATTGCCATTAAACAGTTCTGTTCATCCTACATACTGGGTGTGTGGGCTTGGGGGAGCACAAAGGGGGAATGAAAGATATGAAGGGGCATGGGTAAAGGTTTTTAAACTTACCTTTCAAAAGGTCTTGAATCCAGACTATGGTTCACGATTCCTCTGAGGCATCCTGAACCACAAGTCCTTGACAGGTTGGTCAAATTCCATGAAAATTGCAGCAGAGTACAAGGTGCCAACCTTTGCAATGCAGCCAGCCTGGAGGTGGATGCAAAGTTCTGGCACATTACCTGTGGCCTTATGCCATTCCAGTGAAAATCAGCAGCACCTGGGAATGGGGATGGGAATTCTATAAACAGATCCCACTGCCATTTGTATAGGCTTCCAGAGTTGGCTGACTATGCAAAGGTCTGAGTTAATATCTGCTTATGTCACCCTGCAATATACTTTGTTTTATAACACTCCAATGAAGCGCTGTTTGATTATATTAAAGGCACTGTGTACAACTAAATTGTTGATGTTCTACATTATTGTGCGGAGCTTTTGAAACTCAGTAAGAAAGCTTGCATGATGCCCAAGGGCCTCTGTACAAGTGGGTGGATTTTAACTGAGTTAAAGTCCCAGTCTAGTTTCAGAAGCAGACATCCATAAGTCAACGAAAAAACTGCAGATCCGAAAATCAGAAACAAAAACAGAAATTGCTGGCAAAGCTCAACAGGTCTGGCAGCATCTGTGGAGAGAAATCTGAGTTAATATTTCAGGTCAAGTGAACCTTCCTCAGAATCCATGAGTCACAATGAGGTATTTGAATTCACAATGTGTCATGGCAGCTTCAAGTCTGAAATCCCCAACTAGAAGCCATTCAGTTCAACCACATGTCTGGACACTTTTGTTCAACATCATTGCCAATCAGAAAACATCAACCAACAACAGCAGGCAAAAGTAAATGATTACATACCAGCAAAAAATGTGATGACTCATTGGGAAAAGGTGGAATGAGAGGTGGAGGGCCCTGTGGCGTGAAAATGGAATTTGCCATGCATGGGAATGTTGGTGTGCGGTAGTCTCCAAATGTTTCTGTAAAGTATGGGTCAAACAGGGGCTGATACCCTGAGACACCCGGTGGATCACATCCAATCGACTTCCCGCTGAGAGAAGATGAATATACATCTGCAGTGTACTGCTTAGATGGATGACAATGAGATAGCTCAGAATCTGATAGGTAGGGCCTTCTTACTCCATAATAACCAGGTATTACATGGGAACCTATTCGAAAAGAAAAGATGTGTGCTATTATCCATTGCAGCTTAGCCATGAAATTTACAATTAATAATCACCAGAAAACCTGAATAAGGAAATGAGAGTTTAAGAGCATTCCTTGTTCAAGGAGTCATTGATGAAAATGATTAGTTAAGGGAATCAAAACACCCATTCCACTCCAGTGATGTTCATGTGCACACTTTTGCTTTGATTTTAGCCATTTTAAGAAATTAAGATTTCTGTTAACTCTCATTAGTCAAACGAAAAGCACAAAATAACTATTGTTGCTGGATGTGATGTGAGCAGACCCTGGGATAAATATTGGTTGTGATTTTTTAAATTTATTCTTGGGATGTGGGCATCATTAGCTGAGCCAGCATTTATTGTCTGTCCCTAGTTGCTCTTGAGAAGGTGGTGGTGAGCTGCCTCCTTGAACCATTACAGTCCTACTGTAGGTAGACCCATAATGCTGTTAGGGAGGGAATTCCAAGGATTTTACTCAGGGACACTGACGGAACAGAAGTACATTTCCAAGTTTGGACGCTAAGTGGTTTGTGGGGAGATCTTTCCCATGTATCTGCTGCTGTTGTGCTTCTAGATGGAAGTGGCAGTGGGTTTGGAAGGTGGTGCCTCAGAATGTTTGGTAAATTTCTGCAGTATATCTTGTAGATAGTGCACATTGCTGGCTACAGAGAGTCAGTGGAGGAGGGAGTGGGATTGTTCTGTACTTACATCAGATGCTTTGCAAGTAGCAGTGCCTGAAACAATGGGTCCAAAAATCAAAAGAAATTGGTCACCACTGGTCTCAGATAAATACACTGGGTGGACTACTGATACCAGTCATATCACCACTGCCAGTTCACTGTAATGGGGAAGAGTAATAACAGATCTCCTGTGTCACCAGCTGAAATCCTAAGGTAAATCCCAGGAAATGGGGGACTTTGAGTTGGCTACAGGAAGTGAGGGGAGAGGATTGGTTGCGATTCTCATGGATTCTGCAGGCCATGCTGCCTTGACACGAATATGTTTTGTTTGGTTTTCAAAATATTCTCCAGTGACCAATTGATGGCTACAGAGGTAGCTAATAAATGAGTCCGGTGTCTTCACTTACACTGGGGTCTCGTTTTTAAAAGGCAATGTTCAATAGATATTAGCCTTCTCCTTAACATTCTCATCAAAACATGTCAAATGTTTATAGTGCTGGACAGGGTAGATGATTGAGGCTAGACAGCATAGTACCAGGGGTGTCAGGACATGGGGTGAGGGATTTACCATAAACCATAACATCTACAAGCAGAAGTGGGACATTCAGCCCTTTGAGTCTACTCCATCATTCAATTAGGTCACAACTCCTCAACTCCACCACCCTGCCTTATCCCCTCGATTACCTCTACAATTGTAACTATGACTATGACTTATACAGTTCCTCATTAGCTCGCCAAGCCAGTTGTTCTGTGGTGTGCAGATGTTTTGTTACCCTTCTCGGCAACATCATCAGTGCAACCCCTAATCGAAGCGTTGGTGTTCTGCTTCCTTCCAGATTTGTATGATCCTCTGGTGTGATGGTCTTATTGCTTCCAGTTCTGTTGTGTTAGCAGCAGTCTGTATACTGGGATAACAAGGTGTAGAGCTGGATGAACACAGCAGGCCA